CAGCAAAATCTGAAGTGCACAAGGGAAAAACATGAGCTGGTGATCAGGTCATTGGCCTAATATGTTCTGCTCTACACACGTCCTGTGTCTCCTTAGTCAAGTTACTTAGTACCAATACCCAAAAATAGACACCTGCCCCAAGAAAGAATTTGAATTGAACTTAGGCACCCAGCTTCTGAAACAGATCCCTGAATGTAGCTGTGGGATTGCTGAAATTTCTGTCCTCATTAGCATCTAGCCTGTTCAGCCTACCCATTTCTTATGCCCTTGCACTTTGGCTACCCAGCTCTGAGCATCTTGAGCCTAAATTTGATTGGTGCCCAAAACTTAGGAAGACATCTCTGCTAGGGTTAGATGTGGCAGGGGTTCTCCAGCTGTCCATCACAAGCAATTGGGCTGCTCACAAGATACATTTCTTTTAAACAAAGTATTGGAGAAAGAAGTAGTTCAGAACATAGTAGTACTTCAGAATCTTGGGCGGTGGATGTTTAGGTTGCAGGTCATTCATTTACTATTTGTAATGCAATAAATAACAGCTATCTCCTTCCTAACCACAAATTAAGGCTCAGGTCTACATCCAGGCTCCAAGGGCAAATAAGTTTTTAAACCTAATTCACTTACTAAGTGAAATTCTACAGCCTTTTAGTTTGAATTTTTAGCTCTGAGAGAGGAGTCCAGAGTTTTGTTTTCTGCTGCTGGAGTTATCCTTTGATAAAAAGAATAACAAACCAATGCCTAATGTAAAGTCATTAGCAACACCAGGTGTAACTTTTGAAACTAGATGATGGTAATGTTTTTTAACAGAAATGCTGGGGAAATGCCAACATCAATTAATAGTATGGTAAAGCACATTCTGGGTTATTTGACTGCATTTATCACTGTTCTGAATTTATCAAAATGCAGCACAGAATTGTGTTAATTGAAAAAGAGAAAGCGAGAACAACCCTCACAAGAACAAGCTGCAATTCATTTTAAGAAATAAGAAAGATGGCAATGGAATGGCCATCTTTGGAGCTGGCTGTATATCCACGGCAAGTTCACTGATTTTTATCAAATATAAATAGGGACTTCTGTAACCATCTCTTTAATCTCTTTTCCATATTCAAATAAAGGAAGAATTTTACCAGAGAAGGCCACTCACCCACCATCCAGTCCATCTCCTCAACATTATCTCCATATAAGCCATGTTTGCTTCTTCCCAAAAACTTCTCTGTGGTAACAAGAGGAGTGTGAACATGTAAAAGGGAAACAAAGAGAAGAAACGGTCTATGCTTGTTTCTGAAATTAAAGAAAATAACAGTAGTCATTTCTCTGCAAACTGTTACTCAAAACAAATCATAGAAAACTCCTCAAATAAAATTTTCAGATTTCACCATCTTTGCATTTTTTTCAGAGTTTGGAAGAAAGAGGGAATTAAAATTAACCTTAAAGACTTGGGTTCTCTGTTGAGACCAAACTAATATATACATTTTTTCTGGTTCTAAACTGGACACGTGTAGAATTAAATGTTAAATTTGGAAGTCCTTAGCCAAAAGGCTGTTATGTTGTCAGGGACAAGGAGAAGAGGATTCATTTGCTTAAACCTAAACATGGGTGTCGCTAAACATCTGACACATTCTCATGGCACTGGCAGATGCAACACTGGACCTACAAGGGAAACATACCCTTTCAAGGATGGCAGCTAGAAGCTGGGCAGGACATCGTAGGACATCTGAAATTATCTCTATTCAAAGTTTTACAGAAAAGAGATTTTTCTCCAATATCCAATTTTACGTAAGAAATAAAGTCTTACAGAAATGCTATATAATCCCTGAGATATGCCCAGATCTGACACAGATTTGAACTGAGAATTAAATACTTAGTTTAACTCTAGTTGATGTTATTAATGTTTGTGTAAGGGGAGGATGTATCTGGAAAATAGGCAAGACAGAACAAAACTCAGTATCACTCTCCTGTTTGTAAAATATTAAAGAACAACACTTCATGTGACAGTTCGTCCATCAAGCCAAGATTATTTTTGTGTGCCTACTGGCAGAAGGCCCAGTCCTTGGCCAGGACCCTTTTGTGTTAGGTAGAGGAGTCCTGAAGACACCAAAATCGTCTTCCCTTTCCTGAGTTGCTGACAAACTGCACGTGAGACAGAAGGCAGTGGTTGGATGCTGACAGCTAGAGGGACACGTGAAAACAGCAAACAGATGCTGGCCAACACGGTGGGTGGCTAGCTCACCATTTGCCACCCTACTGCTGTATGACACAGCAATAATTTTGCTTAAGAATCATGAAAAACTGGTATGATTTTTGTCGTTTACCTTTCAATGAATGAAATTGCCTCCTTGAGCAGATTAGAAGTGATTTTTTCTAGCTTCATTGGTTGTTCAGTGATCTCGTGGTTTCTCATCAGGATACAGTTCCAGTACTTGGTGAATCCATAGCTGGAGAACCAGGAAATGAAATACAGGAAACCACAGATGGACAGGCATATGATTATTTTCCATTTTACTGAGAATAAGTTGGTGAGTTTTCCAATCAGAAGCGTAAGCACTGCAAGGACGATTATCTGTGTGTGTAGCCAGTAGGTATCTTGCAAAGACTTGGCCAGCTCGGGCTCCTCCGTGCCTTGGCACTCATTCAACAGGGTAGAAGGCATGCCATAAAAATAATCAAAGCCATGATTTAATGGATGGTGGCAGTGATCGTAGCGGGATTCACAGTTCACACCAAGATGCCACTTCCCTGAAAATATGAAAGAAAGACACTAGATGTAAAGGCTTTCCTGATGGGTGCTCCTGCAACTGTAACAGGCTTCCCACTGTGGAAGGAGCGGGTGGCAAGTGGCAACAGGCTCACAGGTAGCAATCACACGTGCTGATATTGTCTGACCACTACAGCTGGCTTCTCTCACCCGTCTCAATTTAAAAAGAAACTCCTCATAGGTAATGTCCCAGCTTGGAGGCTTTTCTGAAGGGGAACAAATATGCTTGTGATATTTGGTGTTTTTTATTTTAATATGATGACCTAGTCTTCCATTAATGGTGACGGGATAGGAGGGGAGAAAGAAGGGGAATCCTATGTGCCAAAAGAAGCAGCTGAGCACAAAAATATTATCTATATCTAATTTACACACCGGTTCAAAGCAGCCTTCATATTGAGGACGAAATTTCAGCAAGAGAGTGTACACATTGGCTTTATACCTCTATATTTATTTTAAAATAAGTAGCAAAACTAGGCCATTCTAATTAGCCAATAAAACTGGAGTGATCAAGTCATACACTGATAATGACCCTTAATTAAGTCATACTATAAAGCAATGTAATTATCCTGACACCGAAGTACAGTCTGGAACCATGGGCTTAGGGGGCTATTAGACAGACAAGTAACTTCTGAGGACTGCTAGGCACATCCATGCTCGCGTATATGGATTTATTTTACAGCATCAGCTAAACCAGACTGTCATGAGCTAGGGCAAGTTCTCCCCTTTGCATAGGCTTTTGTGAAGCCAGAGCATCACTAAGACTCACTTTAATCCATAATTTAAGAACTAAATTACACCTCATTGCAAGGGACCCCAGCAGAGGGTGAAATTCACAGTAATTATAATTAAGTACCTAACTCCTTTGACAACATGGAGTTTAAAAATGAGAGGCGCCTGAAAGACACATCCTTTAATTGCTATTCAGGCAAAATTAGCAGAGAGTTAGCACAAATTTTCTTTCTCAGGTATGGGTTCTGATCTCAAATCCATGGCAGTGAATGGGACTCCTTCAGCTTTTTGTCTCGCCTAGCTGAGTCGCTTTTTGGAGATAATGAAAGGCCTTTTAGAGTCTTAACTGTGATAATAAGCAGGATGCAGAAGTACAGAAAATCCAGCTATCAGAAGCAATTAAGACCACTATAGTGTCTGGTAGCTGGCATACTTTTTCGGCTTTAATAGATCAGGTAGTATCTCTGTGTTTTCTTCTTTCTTGAAGCAGTCTGTACTGAGCAAATAAGTCTTTTTTTCTTTTTTTTCCCCATTGCATTTTTATACTAGCAGTGTACGTCTGTGTATTCCGTATGTCTTCATTTTGGATTTATCACATATGCTGCCAAGACATGGCGGGGTTGGATGGGATTCTGGAAACCTTGCTGTTTTTGAAACTTGTGCAGACAAGAAATTCAAGTTAGTTAATCCTGGACATATCGACAAAGAAAACTGATTTTGGAAAGAGCCTGATCTGAATAACAAGCAATGAAAAGGTGGCAAATTGCTATGTCTCATACCTACGAGTGCTGTCGAATAACCTTGCTGGTGCAGTATTCTGGCAAAAGTGGTTTCATTTGTCGGGAGCCCACCAGAACACCCACTCCAAAAGAGAACACGCCGTTCAGTGCTGGGTGCCATCCCTAGAGAGGACAAACAGCAAACAAATAATTCAAGCTGTTTTATCTTTGTTTGGATTATTCTTTCTAATGGATGAAATCAGGGGATTCGGCTTCCTAAGTCTAGTGCTTTTTTATAAGTCATTTTATATACCCCAGGTTATTCTGATTGGCATTAGAAGTTGTCTCCTCTAAGTCTTTTGTCGTATCTGCTAGCCCAATGCAGATATCTCACATAGTCTAGGGTGTCTAAAACAGAACTAAGATGCCTGTGTTTAGACAACTGAGGTCCTGAAAAGCTGCTCTGTCCTTAAAAGCAAAGGTCTATCGAAATATGTTGTAAAAAGCATGAGAAGTTTTACATAGAACAGCAAGTTTAAAGAGCCAGTACATACATCCTAAATTTACAGTTCAAGATTACATTATCCGTAAATCTAACTCCTTAGCAAGTCAGGATCATGCCAGAAGAGCTACCCTGATGACTACTGAAAAAGTGACTGGCTGTAGGTTTCTAATATGGTTTCGAATGGCTGGAGTAAATCTGTTTTAAAACATCCTTGTTGACAGCTGTTCCACAGTCTGACAGATTCCACTGTGTTTGTCAAGATATTCAGAATACCATGCTTTTCTTTGCTTAACATAATCCTACCGCCACAGTATATACTGTGCTTGTACAATTACCTTCTTGCCATGTTTCTACCTTCCCGTAGAGTCATCTATCTCTGTGTTGCTCTATGGCTACATTAAATGTATTTAATGTCAGGATTTTCTCACAGAAAACAACCAATAAATCTAGTCATCCTTGCTTGTCCCTGAGGTGTGAAAACCTCAGATTAACTAATCTTTAGAAAGTTCATCTAAGGGTATTTGTAATAGCAATGGTGGCGGGACAAAGTGCAGCGAAGCCTCAGCGGGAGTCGCACCTGATCTGACGGGGTACCTGCCCGTGAGGAAGGCTGCCCTGCTCGGCGTGCACACAGCAGCTGCAGCAAGGTGATGCGTGAGCTTCACTCCCTCCTTCGCCAGGCTGTCAATGTTAGGGGTCCTAAACAGAAAATCATGTCTCTGGGAAAATTCATCATACAGGTGTTCATTGTGCCTCACTCATTGCCTCTAGTTTTGTTAAGGACATCCCCATATTTACAAATCTCCCTTTCTACAACTCACCTAGGAAAGCTTTATGCTACGTATTTTTAAAGACACATAGATTTTTCTTAGAAATGAATTTTCCATGGATAAAGGTGTTTTAGTTAGTAACTACAAAGGAAAAGAAGGTAATTCAGGTCCATTCTGTATCAAATGCTCATGCAGCGGGTGATAAAAGCAGCATCCTGCAGCATCCTGCTGCAGTGTCCTGCAGTAATGTATGCAGGACAACAAAATCTGCAAGATGATGGTAAGTTAGAATAAATTGAGGATACTTCGCATTCCAAAAAAAGTGGTCTCATTACCATTTACACTGTGACAAAAAGCTTTGTTATTTTTAAAGTTCAAAATAAAACTTACTGTGCCACGAATGAGAACAAATATTTATATTCCTCTTTGCAAACTCAACATGTGCATGCACACAATCACAGTGTTTACTGAAATTTATTTATATAAAGATTGATAACTGCAGTGACCATAAATATATGATAGACTGAGCTGTCATTTCATCACATGTCTAGCAGAGTTGCTGTTGGATATGATGGACTGAGATTAAGATTTGATAGTTCAACCCTTGAGTTGGTGTAATTTATAAAGTAAACATGCCAGAAAAATATAGTTCATGTGCACATTTACGACGTTCTGACTAAGATGAAAATTGGAAGTCTGAAAAAGTCACCAAGCATGCTTGTAAAATTATTATTCCATTACCAACTACTACAGAACATTTATTTTTTACATGCTAAATTCTAAATTTGCATATCTTGTGTTGCAAAGGCATTAATTAATAATGGATTTTCTAGTACTGAGTGTTGTCAGCATGTTTTGCACTAAAACTCACCAGGATAATTTATTTTGTTCAATACATCCTTACCTTATTGTATCATTGCCATAGCAACCTATATCTCCAACACCCAGATCATCAGCCAATATCAGTAAAATATTGGGTTTTGAAGCATTTGATACAAAGGTTCTTGGAAAAAAACATAAGAGTATCCAAATTTTTAGGCATCTCCTGAAATTAAAAGGAAAAAAGTAACATTATGAGAAATATTTGTAAGTTTTCTAACATCTTAAACATTGTGTTTATTAGCAATGTGTTTATGAGGACCCCACAAGTGTTATGAGGATTCAAAAAAGATGAAAAGAGCTACCGAATTCTGTCAGCAGATGGAGCTCCTGAATACATGGAAGAGTTCCTGAGCTTTCTAGAAGTCAGTATTTTTTTTTAAATTTACCTAGGAAATAACTCTTCGTGTGCATTTCCTTATTGAGACTTGCATTGATTTCAGCAGATGTTTCTGCCAGAACGCGTGGCTGGATACTTGCGAGGTTCCCGAAGTGCCCCGGGGCCGAGCTGTTGCGTGTCGCGCAGCACTCGCCTGCTAAGACTTCCCGAGTCAGCACAGCTGATTTGGGTGCCCGGGGGCTACCCCGTTAATGCCCCCAGTGCTGCGCCCCGGGCTCTCCGCAGCGCCTGGAAATCTGCGCTTCAACCGTGTGGCCACCACAGGCTGCAGGCTGCAGCAATGGGCTTAACCTTGGGCATCTTCCCAGAAGAACCTAAGAAGATGTCAGCACACAGTTTAGCTGCTCAGGACGCTTGCTAGGGACAGTGTAAAGACCTTCACTTGAAATAAAACATATATTCTAGACTATATCTACTGACTGGCTTTTAAAGTTCAGGCTGAGTTCATAGATTTGGCAGACAGAAATGCTGCTCTTTCAAATTAGTATATTTTTTAGGTGTAGAAGCTCTTCAAGAGGAATAAACATAATGGTATTTTATTATTAACGGTTTCTAGAGGGTGATTAGTAATTCATACTAAAGTGCTTCCTTGATTGTGTTAGATAGCTTAACAGATACCCCAAAGTGAGGAATGCCTATTAAAGCCATTATATTATATATTATAGATACTGCTAAACCTCCCTGTTTTTTAAAAATAGGGTAGTGGACTTTAAAGGCCATCAGTTATAAATCCCTATGAGCTACTCTTATATTCTCATTAAACTTTTTAAAACAAGAAATCAGTTAACATTTTCTTACACACAACACTCCACAAAACCCACGATGAATGTCCTTCTTACCACTGTTTTCCCTGGTAAACCTCCTGGCTTCCTCTTGCCTGTAGCAGGTGCATGGCTGGTTTCAGGAATTCTGCTGGAAAGGGGAGCAGAGCCATCAGAGCCAGGCGGCGGCGGTGCCCTTGCCTGTGAAGGCAGCTGTTAACTGCCCTGCCATTCCACAGCCACACGGCCCGTGCCTGCCGCT